TTGGATCTCGAGAAGTCAACGTAGAAATTCGTCGCTCCCAGGTTATCCCTAACGCTAATTGAGCGAATTCTTCGTAGTTTTTCACACGCTTTAACATATCTGTAGTATGCGTCTGTTGTTCTTCATTCGGGCTCAGTATAATATTTCGTAATCACAGACAACGCTGTTCATCCCGTTATCCCTTGTTTTATCCATTCTTCAATTTTATTTATAAAAGTTCATTTGAAATTACAATTAAATTGATTCAATAGAAAAAGACACACAAATCAAATGCATACGAAAGGCGCTTCAAAATTCTAACAATTCAAATTCGTCAACAGCAAGTAATGGTGTTTCAAAATATTTTCTGACATTATTCGTACAATGTCTCATCAAAGGTAGATACGCTGCTAATTCGTTTGATGCTTCTGTTAACTGCTTTTCAAAACCTTTATTATGCTCTACACGGAATTTATCGTTAAGCGATTTTTGTACATCTAAAGCATATTTTCTTATGAATGTTCCTAGATAATTAAACCGCTGGATAAATTGTTGTTCTAGTTCTTCATTTATGCTACTATGTGCTTTCTGTAAAATTCTATCAAAATTTTCTTTTAGCATATCCGCAGCTGACTGTCTCATAACAGGCACTGAAACCTCCATCGTACTAATTTCAATCGTCCGTTTTACTATCCATAACAAATACCATGGACGGTAGTATACAGTATCTTTTCTTTCTCTTACAAGTTCAAGCAAGCTCGTGTAATTGGATGTTTTTTTGTTTAATTCCGGACATTTAATTTTCATGCTAAATGTATTGGACAACCGCTCTGAAATACGTTTCTGAATATCTTCAGTAAAGTTCCTAATTTCTGTTTCTAAGTTAACACGTGCCTCTTCCAAATGCTTGTTAACCTCTAAGCTTGTTTTAAGCATTTGCACTTCACTAATATGACGAACAGCGTCAATCACTGTCTTGGTAAACTTATCTGCTTCTTCTTTACTTTTAAATTTTAGCTTATCATCTACGAATGAATGATTTTTCAGCATGGAAGTTATATGTGTTTGATAAATCAAAGCATAGTCTAGTAGCTGTGCTTCACTATTAAACAGATCAATTACTAACTGATAGCATGCTTGTGTATCGTTTTTGAATATAGATGATATCTCATTAATCAGTTGAGCTTTCCAATCGTTTAAGTTCACTTTTAGTTTGACTCGACAATTCTGTAACTCATATAATTCATTACTCAGATGCTTTAGAGCTTCTAACAGTTTTTCTCTGTTAACTTTCAAACCCATTAGACGTAATGTTACATGTTGTTGTAAGATGTTCGTAGCGTGAGCACAGTGCTCAGAAGCATCTAATAAACAAGTGCGAGCAACCAATTTCATCGTTCTGTAAACGGCAAACTGCACAAAGTTCGAAAAAGCGGACTCTTTTAACATACCTTCTGCCTCACCTGATAATGCCTGAACAGGAATCGTATCGAGAGTCTCTTCGTATTCTGACCCAAAAGTAAACTGCATAAATGACTCATATGTTGACATGTTATGTGATAAAGTTTCATGCGTTGGCAGATCAATTAAGGCTATCAGAATACTACGTAGGCAAAAGCACGTTAATTAATTTCAGTCATTAGGCGAGTTCAGCAAACAATGATTTTTACGAAGATTTACGGAAACATCACAGATTCGTCTTTGAAGCACCTCTTTAATGCAACAAAATTTAAATCAATGCTGAAAAGAATAAATTTCAACATCCTAATCGCAGATCCATGAAAAAACGTTCGTTTATGCGACAAGACACGAAAAATAGAAGCAATACAGAGAAAAAAAGCGAACCAAATTTCTCGTTATCGGGCATACTCTCAAGGAGTTAGCTAATATTACAGATTGTTTGAGTAAAACATGTGATGACAACAGTCAAGTAGAGTAATATATGCAAGCGCTTACATTTTTCTTAAATTTTCTTATCTCAGGAATTTGTGCATTCTGATTTGTTGCTTTTCAAAACTCAAAAAGTAAAGTGAAAAACTCACCTAAGGATAACGTAATATTTGAACCGTTCTTTATTGTTCATGCGAAGAGTTTGGTATTCACTCAAAAATATTCTACATATTAGTGCACTTTTCCCAGACATTTCATATACATTATTTGATCTGATGCCAAATTGTGATGTAACATAAGTCATTGTTTGTTCTTTGGTCAAATCTTTCTTCGTTCTCTGATCAATTTTATTAACTAATGCATATAAATCATCATCATTTTCTCGATGTCCTTTAACATGTCGTATTACAGAAATGTCGTGTGTCAATTGTTCCTGATTTTCGTTATTTAATGATGTGTAATCCAAAACAATAACAATTAATGCCGATCGTTGCAGTTCATTAGCAACCATTATCTTCAGTTGATCAGATAAACCTCTTTCATTCGGACCGGGTGTGTCAACAATAATTAGATCACCCGTATACACATTACTGTTATCATCACCAAGAACTGATGCTGGTACTTCTAGACGCGGCAAAGGTTTTTCTTTAAGTATATCATTATTTACATTCAATAAATTCGATATACGTATCATATCATTGACAAAAACCAATATCGTCGATATTTCTGTTACATCCATAGTTCTGACATTTAGCTCAACAGTTTTAAGGCGAATTTTTTTAATAGTATCCAATAAATGCTGTTGATTATGGATTCGATTAAGTATACTTTTTTCCAAATCGACTTCTGTGCCAGCCTGAAACAAAAACTTAAGTATTTAAAATGAGAAGGACATTTCCACCTTTTCTCAACGTGCTGTCCGAGAAGAAGTTCTTAGACATATGCAGACAAACGTGTGCGCTGATAAAAACTGTTCGGTGACGGCGTTTGAAAGATGCGGATTGTTTCTGCACGAGAATGACCGTATATCTTTATGAGAAGATAACGACTGGAACTGATTAGAAACCATTCGCTATTTAGTTTTTAATATTTCTACGCCTTAAAAGTTGATTGTAGACTATCATATCCTGGAATTTTTAATGATTTCTGAGCATCGGTCCAGAAAGCCTATTCGATCATATTTTCTTTGCAAGTTCGATGTTCTTAATAGAAACTTATGTATAAAAACATGCGCAATTACGCGAGCTTTAAAATAATCTATCGTACATCTTTTCAAACTAACGTCTTCATAGCGTATTTGTCAAACATTATCTATAACTATTTACTTCCCGTATATGTAATCCTCACCGAATATAATAAAATGTACCCTAGTGAAACCTCTTGTACCAAGATGTGCATCAAAAATTTCAAATATCCACGCGCTTATTGTCAGGGTTTACAAAGTTTTGGCGAGGAAACCTGGGTTTTCACAGATTCCTTAATTTCTTCCTACCCTGAGAAGCTGGAGAAACGAAAGCTATAGAGTTTAAATCAGTTTTTGACGCTGATTCCGAAAACATTATCAGTAGTTTCGACAAGTGTTACCGAAGTCCAAAATTCGCCAACGAACTATTACTAGTTTTCTAGAAACCCTTGCAGATCCAAAAACTTTCGAAATTAATTTCCGACCTCGCAGTAGGATTGCCTGGACGATTTATTTCGGAATCAGCATCAAAACTGGTTTAAACTCTGTAGCTTTCGTTTCCCCAGCTTCTCAGCACAGGAAGAAATTCAGGAATCTGTGAAAACTCAGGTTTCCTCGCCAAAACCTTTGTAAAACCTGACCATAAACGCGCGGAGATTTGAAATGTTTGGTGTACATGCATTAATACGTTTAATATATATACTAAAAATGTCAAGTTGATTGGACTTGTCGTTGTGAAAAAATCTAATTTTTATTAAAAAGGTTTGATTTTTCGTCTCCTTCACCAGCGACACCTATAACTCCTGAAGGGAGTGCTTTCAGAGCCTAAGAAATCTACGACGAAATCTACGGACGAATCTCTATTCGTACAAAAATTGATTTTGTGTTGTTCGATAGTTTTAGTTTAGAATACTATAATGGAATATTCTTCCGCTTGTATTCTGACAGAATAAAGCTTATATCAAAGCCTAAGTAAAGTTTTCCATGACCTCAGTTTGATGTCTAGTATCTGTGATAAAAATTTCAGCCCGATCTGACTTAGTTATAATTGCTATCTGCCTGAAGCTGTCTGACTTTCTCAGATAATGACTGTTAAGCTCTTGTGTAAATATAGGTGCAAATTTTTCATACTTAGAATAACTTTGGATTGTTTTCCTTCTTGATTATAGTTGTTTAAGGAAGAATCTATGATTCTATATGCTCGTATATCCAATAGCTATGCCTGTCATAAATAAAATGTAAATAAAATTTTTCATACAAGCTCTTGCATCATCTTGAATAGACGAAGCCACGATGTTTCAAAATCTTGAGTGAAAGATTCAATAATCTTGACTTCCTGTTGTTTCTTCCAAGATCTTATCAAATTTCTTAAGCCAAGATTTTGGGTACACGTTTTGTCAGCGCACTCGGGCCCTGAATGGTTTATACATAGAAAAATGTAGAATTGTAAGAACTACCGAATAAGCTATAATACATTCTTTCAATCGTAAGTTTGTTAGACTTATGGGTAAAAAAATGAAAGATATTTTTCGTGTTGTCTGGTTAATTTTACTGATTTTGATAACATGAGACCTTTCTAAAATTCCTTAAGCCATGCAAATCGTTTTCCAGATTTGTTATAGCTATTATTTTCAAGAATAAAAACTGAACATATAAGTGGTTTAAGAGTTTTGAGAACCATCGTAAATAAAAGTCGGGACAGTCATATACTATTCAGAATATAATTGTGTGACGGTATACTTTATAAAAAATGTAATGTATTTCAATTTGAGCTCGTTAAATTCTGTATTTTTTTATATCATACTCATTCCGGATCTAACTTTGTTTACAGCATTACAACTCTTCGTCTGCAGGTCAAAATCAGCGCATCCGTTTACTATCTTGCCCATAAGTCTAACAAACTTACGATTGAAAGAATGTGTTATAGTTCATTTGGTAGTCCTTTCAATTCTGCGTTTTTCTATGTATAAACCATTCCAAGCCTGAGTGCGCTGACGAACTATGTACATTTTATTATATTCAGTGATTGTTACATATACGGGAAGTAAATAGTTATAGATAATGTTTGACAAATATGCTATGAAGACGTTAGTTTGAAAAGATGTACGATAGATTATTTTAAAGCTCGCGTAATTGCGCATGTTTTTATACATAAGTTTCTATTAAGAACATCGAACTTGCAAAGAAAATATGATCGAATAGGCTTTCTGGACCGATGCTCAGAAATCATTAAAAATTTCAGGATATGATAGTCTACAATCAACTTTTAAGGCGTAGAAATATTAAAAACTAAATAGCGAATGGTTTCTAATCAGTTCCAGTCGTTATCTTCTCATAAAGATATACGGTCATTCTCGTGCAGAAATTGCCTTCCGTTGTTTTACCTAAACAGCGTCAGCGACGCCTCACACTAAAATATTTTTTCGTCTTCGGTGGCGACAGCACAATCTTATCAACTAGCCGGCGTGAGAATGACGAATCTCAAAATCAAGCACTAAAATTGTTGTTTTCAGAGCTACTATTTTCTCTGAAAAATTTCCTGAACCAAAAAATACTACGTGCCGCGGGGCACTCAATAGACATTCTGTCAATGGGTGAGAAAGTGTTCTCTGGTCTTTTATAAGTATGGAAAATTTTTTGAACTGAGTTTTGTCTGTTTTATCGCGTTTAAATCCTACACACCTTACGTTGAATGCTGAACACATTTACACAAGACGTTGACGTGGCTAGACCGTTGCTAGTTTTACTGTTGTGTTAGCTGTCATGATCTGCCAAGCCATCTGTTATAACTTACATGAAATGCGAATTGAATTAGGTTAAGGTGCCACCGGTATCGATATGAAGTATAACGTCGGCTAGTATACCGGCATTAGTATGAAGTATAATCAGTGCGTCGATATTGCTGGTATTTTGCGGTATTATACCATTGTTCGTAAAACATCGCGTAGGTTCAGTTCATCTGTGACATGTTTCTTTCGCTAATACTTCATTCCAATTACTTAAACTTTGTCGACTTATATAAACTAGGGGTGTTACTTTAGTTTTATTATTCATTTATATTAAAGAGTAAATCTAAATGAATCATTTATATTTATTTTCTAAAGTTATACTAAATTGGACAATGAGCCCGGAGAGAATTGATCCCGGTTGCTTTAATTAACAAAAAAACGATAGAAATGAGCCCGGTTTAAAAAATAAAAAGTTTATCTTCATAAAAGAGAGAAATAAGCCCGGTAATTTAGATTTTTAAATATATAAAATACTAGAAAATTTACCCGGCGTTGGCTGGGTTGATGTTGATGATTTCGCTTATGATTTGAATGAACTTTTCTTTTCAAAATTACTTCAGATTAAAACTAGTTGATTTCTTTAAAATACTTCAGAAAGAATTTCAACGATATATATATTTACCAAGGGAGGTACTCCTATGGGTCGAGATTTTGGGATCGCACATAGCCTACGGTCTTCCTCTTGATGAATGTGGACCCATGCAAAATTTGGTTGCTCTGGGATCAAGCATGTGGATTTGTATAGCATAACAATCAAACAAACACTTTATATTATAGTATAGATAATCAGTTTAAGAGCATCCTTTTAGAATCAATCTCATAAGAGAACCGCCCGAGGTGATAAATCGCTTTTCGACTCAGACTGTTTCCATTATATAGGAAATAGTGAGCAGTGAGAAACGCTAAGTTGGTTTGTGCCCATGCGCCTTTTTGACAAAAACATGAGTTAATTAATGGTAATTAAGTAGTAACTCACGACCTTGATCAACTAGAAGTATGAGATTTTCGCTATTGATGAAGATAGATGTTATCTAATCACTATGGCAGTTTTAGGCTTATAAACCAAAGCTTTCGCAAGGTATGAATTTTTTATGATTTAAGCAGTTTTTAGTGAAAAATTGCTGTTGAAAACGTAAGAAATTGTTCTCACCTCTTAAATGCCTCTATCGGCTCACTAAAGGCTTATTTCATCTAGATATAGGTCCCTAAGAGCCGCAAAGGATTTTTAACACGAACAGAAGTATTTCAAACCTGAGAACAATTTCTTACGTTTTCAACGGCGATTCAATAGTGGAAATCTCAGACTTCTAGTTGATCAAGGTCGTGAGTTACTGCTTAATTATCATTAATGACGTTTTCATTAATTAACTCATGTTTTCGTCAAAAAGGCGCATGGGCACAAACCAACTTAGCGTTTTTCACTGCTCACTATTTCCTACATAATGAAAACAGTCTGAGTCGAAAAGCGATTTATCACCTCGGGCGGTTCCCTCGTTAGAAGCGCGTATATATAATTGTGATTAAAATTAAACATCAGTATGTAGTAAATATATAATATTATCAACTTAGCAGCATTCTTTTACAAATCATAATAATTTCAAAACAAAAAAAATCACGCAATTTAATGAATACAAAATAATAATAATGTTTTTTAAAGGATAAAGCTGATCCGTCTGTAGCAATCTTTGTCGACCAAACACCTAACATACGTTCTGCTGTCTGTAGAAATGTAGCCAACAATAATTTCTTTCTCATTGTATATGATTGTTTAATTTTGCCATTTAATGATTCGAGACCATTATTTGTTGATGGTGCTAAACAAACTGCTCCTTCATACCAAAATGATAAATCATTTATCTATTGTCCTTCAAAATATGTACAAAATCCATCTAGTTGATTGTCTAAACCCCATTTACATAATAACAAACTTGCTGCTTGATTAAACAAATCATCTTGAAAACATAATTGTAAATTAACAATATCTTTTTCAACATGTAACCATTTTTGTTCATTTGGAATCAATTTTCTATGTTCACGATATTTTCTAATCATATGTGCCCAACACATTAATCTACGACTTTGTGGTATAACTGACATTGCACTTGTAATACCTGCAGCTTCATCACCCATCACGTGTGATATCAAATATGTTTGTTGATTAATGTTAGACACCCATATAGGAACACCTTGAAATAATGTTTTATATGTTGAAGCAGCGTCATCAGATGATACCCAGCATAAGCCAATTGGATGAAAATGACATTTATAATCTGATGTGCCAAATACGAGTATTGGTAAATTATTCCGTGTGACGTTGTACGTACAGTCAATAGCTAACACTGAAGAATATTGGATAGTTGACGAGTGGTGATACACACAAATATATTATCAATATCTTTTACTTCATAAAACGGTATAAAAACCCGACGCAATTGATTAGCTGGTGGGTAATTAATTCTTTCATTACACCATAATTGTAAATCATTAGTAGAAATAATTTGTGTACGGATTTGCTGACGTGTAACTTGTACAATATTTTTAATTTGCTGTTAAATTGATAATGTTATATATGTACTACATACTGATGTTTAATTTTAATCACGATTATATATACGAGCTTCTAAGATTTACTTTAAAAGAATGCTCTTAAACTGATTATATTTTATACTTTTAACAAATCTAAATTACCAGGCTTATTTCTCTCTTTTATGAGGATAAATTGTTTATTTTTTGAACCCGGCTCATTTCCATCTTTTTTTGTTAACTAAGGCAACCGGAATCAATTCTCTCTATTTCCCGGACTCAAAACTTATTTTATCCTACTAAATTAACACACCTAATATATAAACTCTTTGATTTAAAAAATTGAATTGCTGTTTTCGTTAAAAAAAGCTAGAGGAGATATACTATACGCCGAGCCATTTTTTGGAAAAGGGTACAGTCTACTTTATGAGATACTGGGCTGTCAATAACGGAGCTGAATATGAGACATAGATATACTTTCTCTGCTAATTAACAAGCGAAATCATTTGTTAAGGAGTTCTTGACTAGCATGACTTTTCGGCTTTCTCTTCGGATCATGGTAGTCTTAATTCTGCATCGTTTATGTCCTCTGAGTTATGTAAACGTAATATAAGCGTGCACATCCTATATTCTGCCAACTTTCAGAATAAGAATTAAATTAACTATAACGGATCCATTTTCACTTCTATATAATCCACGCACTAGTTCAGCTGGATGAAACTTTGATGTTTTCTTCTTTCTATGCATACTACAGAGACACAGATATAAAGCAAGAAATGGAGAAGAGAACAAATTTTATCGTTTTATCCAAAAGAAAGATTCCCTTCTCCATGAAATTAGTGTTTATTCTGACAACTTTCCAGAGTAAAACGTTAACAAATTTGAAGTTACCCTTCTCCAGTTTTTGCTGCCAGTTTGAAGTACACAAGTTGTGCTTTATGCCAAGCTATTTTTTGGAAAAAGGTCTCTTTTAGTTTTTAAGATATAGAGATTTCAATATCACAGACTAAAGTTAGTCAAATGTATGGATTTCAGTTTATTTTTAAAAATTGCACGAATTTGGAATGACCAACATAACTTTCTTGATCACTTTTCGGGACATCATAGTCAGAGAAGCCCAAGTTCTACATTTATTTTTTATAGTGAAATCACTACAACTAAATGGAAACGGATCTATTTTACTAACTTTTATCCCTGCCATCTGTACCTCTTATAGGAAAGTCTATATAGTATCAGAGTAGAATAAACTATAAAAGAATAATCTTTTGATACATAGTGATTAAATCTCTTTGAAGAAATAATCAATCCAAGTAGAAAAGAAATTAAGTTCCTCTACACATTTGTATAAAACTTATTATAACATGAAATGTTATGTAACGCTGGAATACGAAATAGTCGCGAAACAGACAACACCGACCGGCCCACTGGAATATATTTTGAAACGCTCCCTAAGCATAGCTCTGCATGTCTACAAATCTGCAATGTTGTGTACAAAATCTGCATGTTTGCATGCTGCGTTTTCTTCCTGTTATAAAAAAAATGTTAGCTTTTATTCTCGCAAAACATTTGTAGATATCTGTTGCTTAAAAAACAAACATTGGTTTATCACTATCTTATTCTTTACTCTTATATGTCAGTAATTATTTAGCGTATATCTCATATATCAACATCATATCGTGATGTGTTTAGAAGTATCTCTGATTAGCCCAATTATATTACGTTTACATAACTCAGAGGACATAAACGATGCAGAATTAAGACTACCATGATCCGAAGAGAAAGCCGAAAAGTCATGCTAGTCAAGAACTCCTTAACAAATGATTTCGCTTGTTAATTAGCAGAGAAAGTATATCTATGTCTCATATTCAGCTCCGTTATTGACAGCCCAGTATCTCATAAAGTAGACTGTACCCTTTTCTAAAAAAGGCTCGGCGTACAGTATATCTTGTGTACTTCAAACTGACATAGAAAATGGAGAGGTGTACATTCTAGTTAGTTTTATTTTAATCTGTTAAATTCACAGAATATAGAGGAATTTCATAGTGAGTGCAGTGAACATTTGGATCAAAAGAAAACTAAATTTCAAACTTAGAAGCAATATCTATCGTATATCTCATATATAAACATCATATCGTTCTTTTCCGTTCTCTTCTTCTATTTTAGGAAAAAATCTCTGCTTCTTTCTCTATTGGTTCTTACTTTTCTTTTTTCGTTTCTGTGAATAAATCTATCAAATATAGAAAGCGCTTAAAGCGACTAAAGCGATGAACAATGTGACGGCATCCCTTGGTCGGTGACGTTTATAGAAACAACGGAAAGATGCTTCTCAAACACATGCCGCTCGAGCTGTTTTCTCAATCCTATCAAACGCCAGGTACGGGAGTTGTCGGCGGCACACAGCTCCGTATCTAAGAACGTTACCTGACTTTTAGCTAATTCTTCTAACTCCAGGTTGACTCTGCTACAAATATCATTTAGTGCTAGAATTAGTTTTTCATTCAAAATAAGCTGACGCTGTTCAAGACCATGTCTAAATATGATCTCGGTGGGTAATGTTGTCATAGCTGTATTTCGCGATGGTAATATATCACAGCCAATCAGAGCATTTAAAATCGTGGATTTACCTGGAATGAGATAAAAGTGAAATGAGTGAGGTTGTGTTCGGGATGTCAGTTTACCGTTACTTTCTCACGTAAACGGTAATTTATTTACTTTACTTTACCAAAACTGTAGTAAATTATTTATTTATTTAGGAAAAGTAACGGATAAGAAAAGTAATTATGTCTTGTTTGCCTTTAATAAAGATTGTTTGCCTCTACTCGAAATCGGAACGGGTTCTTTTGCATCTCAGAGAACTATGTTCTGCAACGAACGGGGAGTAGAAAGATTTACCTCCTTAACATCTTGCACCGCTGCGACGTGGCTGACCTACGCAAGTGTCTCAACTACTAAAGTCAGATCATTGTTCTGATTCAATCTTGACGTGAAAGTGCACATGGACACAGAATATATTACGATGATCTGTCTCTGAACATATGCAGCCTTTCAATTTTAGCTTCAAAAGCGGACTCGATTATCTCCTATCACTTCCATACAATACTGTTGTGAAATTAATTCATCAGAAAGCTTGGAACTATCTCAACTTACCGGATTTCATTGTACCAACAATAGCCATACGCAGTTGCAAGTTTTGAACTGAATCGATATCATTATCAAGAACACTTTTTATTTTTTCTAATTCGTTTTCATCTTGTTTCTCAAACGGGAACGAAGCTGCCAGCTCGGAACATGTATCGTTATTGTATGTGTTTAAAATATCATTGACTTTAGTTATATTCGACAAGCATTTTCTAATTAATATTGTAATTTCGTTTTGAAAGTTTTGAATCGTAGATACATTCAGCCCTATTGTTTCTGTTTCTACTGCTGCTGTTGCCATTTTCCACTGTGTACTAATTCCATATTCCGTTGCATTACATTCCGTATATATCTGTAAATAATGAAATTCTTATCTGTTGACTCTTATCTGTTGAACAACAAAAATAGGTTTTCTCCAAGGTAGAAATATACCTGAATGATTCATTTATTCTTCCTAGCGAAGCAAATATTCTTTATTTTGTTGGCGTTCTTACAAAGTTGAAGAAAATGTGTGTATCCTAGTCAGCGATATCAGAAGACGTTTAACTGAATCTTTCACGTATTTTACAAAAAAATATATCATACAACGTTTTATTTTGTATAACTGCTAGCAATAGATCACTCTTGAATACAAAAGTGTATTTTGTGCAAATCTAATTTATCTATGTGAAGCTGCTCCAGAAAGTTCACATTTTCTAATCCATCCACAGGATGAGGTCTATGGACAGATAGAATCACTTAGGAGCCATTGCACATAAGCTACGACAAGCCGAGCTCAATGACTATTGCAGATTTAATAGGAGCAGATAATAAGAAGTCATTTTCCTTGCTGCATATGTAAGTTATAAAATAAATAATATGATACAGCTAACAGTTGTCCTAATCCGCATTGAGTTTGACTAAGAGTCATTGCACGAGAAAGACGACTGTTTCTCACAGAAGGCAGCTCAACGATCATCTCAGATTTTTTTCAAAGTAGTCTCATCTTTTAGATCATGTTCAAAAACCTATAAATCCAAATCTTTAGGCTGTTCGAACTTTTTGTTCTGTAGATATGAAATCTTTTCGACTGAAGTAAAGTTCGAGAAGTTATACGCGTGAAAAGCGTACATTTCGTTCTTCTCGTGAACGAGAAGAGATGAAACCATGATTTCTTCAGGGTAGATAGTACTTGATGTCTACCATAGCAAAAGATGCGTTTGGGTGTTATATATGTAGTGCAGTGTTTTACAATCATAAGAACTCCTTTGTTTTTGATTTTTCAGTAAAAGCTGGAATCAATCTGAATACTGTTTTGAATAGCCCGACGATTTTTCTATCAGATGAGGTACATATCGCCATTTTATGAAGAAACTTGATAATAGGGTTTCTGGAAAACCTGAAGGCTAGAAAACCAAGTCTTTGGTTTTTGGTTAAACAATTTTCCACACCATACAGGCTGATAGAACAAAGAATTCTGAGGAAAGTAAGATATCTCCGGCTGTCCATAACGCTTTTTCATCCAACTGTAGTCCATTTATGAATTACTACAAAGCGGGTGAAAATTACCAAAATATTCCGGTGTAGCCATTCGTAAATC